TGTAAAGGTCAGACAGGTGTGTGATCCAAATACTTAGGAGGCACAGACATGATAGTCTTGGACAAACCAGCCATGCCAAAATTGAAAATAAAAAATAGAAATTCAATAACTTAAACACCCTTTATCAGTAAGTAAAGTATCTGGGATTTCATTTTGGTTGCCATAGAGTATTATCTGGAAAAGGTTTCTGGATTGTAATAGATGATACGATGATACATGAGCCATACATCAAACACAAAGGACACAGCAGGTAGCCTAGCCTCCATGTTTATGTTGGACTTCCCCCTTAAGTCAAGCTGGGACATGTGGAGGGGAATTCAAGTAGAATCTGCAAATACAGTGATTCCAAGTTCCAAATAATGAGTTATTTAAAGTCCAGATCCTAAAAGGAGTTGGCTAGAAATTAGGAAATATTCTTCCTAACATTTTATTTTAAACACATTCCTGTTTTGAAACAGTAGTGAATAAATAAATAAATGAATAAATAAATAAATAAATAAATAAATGCTCTAAAGCCAAACATAGAACATTTATATATATATATACTGTACAAGCATCCTCAGATACAAACCAAAACAAAAGAATATGGAATTGAGAAATAGTCCACATCTTAGAAAAAATGCAGAAGAAAATTTTAAAGTCAAAGGCATGAGTGTGTGTGTGTGTGTGTGTATGTGTATGTAAATAGCACACACACACACACATATATATATATTATATATATTATATATATTAAATATATTATATATATTCTATGTATACCATTCTGTGTCTAACTATATATGTATATATGTACATAAATTTATATGTTATATATGCATAATGATACACATGTATAGAAATATACATATATTAGTAATACCTTAAAAGATAAGTATCTGAAATAGGAATTGGACTTTAAAAATGTATAGTAATACACATATATTAGTAATACCTTAAAAGATAAGTATCTGAAATAGGAATTGGAAAGTGGTAAAATTCTATCAGGTGGTTAGGTTGACCCCTTGTGTTTGTGTTTTTGTTTTTGTTATTTCCTATTTGGATTTCATCCGCCACATGCTAGCCCCACACAGTAGCTTACTTTGAAAATATCTTAGAGAAAAGGCATCAGAGAAAAAGTGCTTCTTTGTTGTTTTGTTACTGAGAAAAACTAGAAAATAAATGATCTTGTCTGTCAATGCACCCACAGTTAGCATAACTGAGAGTGACAGAGCAAAACAGGGCTACTTTTGTTCAAGTTTGAATATTTTATTCACTACAATGATTCTTTTTGGTTTGAAATGGGCTCATTGTATTAGTTTTTGTTTCTATTCCTAAAAAACTCCAAGACTTGTGCCTTACTGTGCCACTATGAAGCAGTTTCCTGCAGGCATGACTCAAAAGTCATGTTCCCTTTTCAATTATTTGCTGCAAAGGAGAAACAGAGACCAATGCAATGTTATATTCACGACTATGGAAGTACCACCTATGTTCTCTTGATACCACTTGCAAGTGAGGTGTGTCCAAGTTTCCTATTAGTTCAGCAGCCCACAGGATTTATGAGAAATGAAGATTAACACCAATAGAGAAGAAATTAAATATTCTCCCAGCTAGAAGTCAGCTTGGGTTAGTTAAGGCCATTTTCAGACCACAAGACACGAATCATATACTTCAGAGATTGCCATTGATCCCTTCCTGTGATGTTTCTATCTCATCTCCACAAACAAAACAGAAGAATGGGAATGCTTCCAGTTTCTGATAAATCACAACAGAAATTCAGAGCCCAGATATATGACACTTCTGGTTAGCATAATGCAGTTTAGCAAGGGAAATACAGCCATCAACCTTGTCTTATTTGTGTCTTTTTGATTAAATCTTAGTTGATTTGTGTACAATGCAGTGACTTACTGTAATGAAGGATCCCATATAGACAACCAAATGAACAATGAAGGAGCTTGTCTCTTTTCTTTAGTGATGTTTGTTAAAAGAAACCAACAGAATTTTTTTTTAACAGAAGAATTATAGTCAGCAAAACCAAATGCTCCATTCCCCAGAAGGGCTACAGTACAATACTGTTTATGCATTTCCTGTAGAGAAATAAGAATTTCATAATTATAAAAGATTTCCTATTTCAATTATTTTGTGTTATTGGAGTATAATAGTCTTTATTTAATGTCATGGAAATATTGTCATAGGTTTCCTATGCATGTGGTTTATATTCAGATGTACTTCTAAATTTGTAGGTTCCATTTTATTGTACATACTTAATGTAGGATATAATGGTTAACTGTTTTCTGTCAGCACACAATTAGCAAGTCATTTTTCTTTGTTACCCTTTTATGACTACTTATGATTAGACCACCTGAAATTGATTGTGAATTCCTAAGATGAGATACTACAACATTATTATATTCTTAATATTGTATCATAGACATATACACTAATTCATCTTATATTTCTTCAATTGTTCCCTTTTGACCTACACCTCTCTCATTCACACTCCACCCATGCATTGAGATTAGAAAGTGTTTGTGTGCACATGTGTATAAAGACAATTATTCACCTTTTAATAAGATCGACACCTTACTTCTTAGATGAATATGCAGAGTGTCATGAAGGAAATAGAGAAAGAAAGACAAGTACTGGAAAACCTTATTTCTGTGGGGTTCTAAAGCAATGGACACCCCCAGCAATTAATACAATATTCTAATGTGATATAATGGTTAACTGTTTTCTGTCAGCACACAATTAGCAAGTCATTTTTCTTTGTTACCCTTTTATGACTACTTATGATTAGACCACCTGAAATTGATTGTGAATTCCTAAGATGAGATACTACAACATTATTATATTCTTAATATTGTATCATAGACATATACACTAATTCATCTTATATTTCTTCAATTGTTCCCTTTTGACCTACACCTCTCTCATTCACACTCCACCCATGCATTGAGATTAGAAAGTGTTTGTGTGCACATGTGTATAAAGACAATTATTCACCTTTTAATAAGATCGACACCTTACTTCTTAGATGAATATGCAGAGTGTCATGGAGGAAATAGACAGAGAAAGAAAGACAAGTACTGGAAAACCTTATTTCTGTGGGGTTCTAAAGCAATGGACACCCCCAGCAATTAATAGCTCAATGAACTTTGGAAGCTAGCAGTGTCTATACATTTTACATGTTTTTTTTTAAGGAAATAGAGAAAGAAAGACAAGTACTGGAAAACCTTATTTCTGTGGGGTTCTAAAGCAATGGACACCCCCAGCAATTAATAGCTCAATGAACTTTGGAAGCTAGCAGTGTCTATACATTTTACATGTTTTTTTTTTGCCTCTAGTTAATCCTGAAGAAATAATGCTTCATACATGTAAACCTGGAGAATTTCGCTGCAAAAACAAACACTGTATCCAAGCTCGGTGGAAATGTGATGGAGACGATGACTGCCTAGATGGGAGTGATGAAGATTCTGTCACTTGCTGTATGTTCTTCTTCAAATAACCTGAAAATGTATTTTCCTGAGTGTGTGTATTACCAAAAGCAGCCTATGGTGTATCTGAAAATATCTTTGATGTAAATTGATTTAACTTTCTTTCTCAGTGGCCCATGGCTTAAATTTAAGCTACAGATTGCTCCTACTACAGATGTCGAGGTCTGCTCTTCTCCTCTTCTCCTCCAACCTTTCCTAAGTTTGTCAGAATACTGCCAAACCACAGTCTGATGTTGCTCTAAAGGACACATTGCGTTCTTTTCTTGTAAAGACATGGGAAGTCAGATTAATCCCCTTTCAGACTAAATTCTGGGCACAGAAGGTCACATTCCACTCCATTGCTTGTTGGCAACAGAGCCTTGAAGGAAATTCAAGGAGATTGGCATGGATTTGGAATGCATTCTAGCTTCTCTGGCTCTATCCATGGCTTCAACTCAACATTTGTTGTTTGCTGAAATAGGAACTGCTCATGTTTCTGATGAAAGTAGGGAAACTTTTCACATGTGTGGATATAAGACACTTTTGGAAAGCATATGAAGTCATATTCTGTAATTACATTTGATTAGTTAAAGTGTTCCATCACAAAATCCATAGGTTTTGCCTGTCATCTTGCACTTTACCTGCTATCTATATTCAAGTTTATAAATAAGTGTGTTTCTGTGAAGTCATCTAACAAAATTTCATCCTTGCCTCATCTTTTTTCCCTGGTTGAATTGGGCTTCCATCTTAAATTAACTCAAGTGTTCCTCTGTGATTTCCCCATTATTTCTCTCTTAAGTAAGCCCACTTTCCACATCACCCCTAGAATAGTTCTTATAGGATCAAGTCCTTCTTACTAAAACAGTTGCAGGACTAGCTGATATGTGAAGTGCCTCAAGTTATATACTCAAGTATATAACATGTAATTCATCATCTATCTACTTACCTTTCTTCTTATTGAGTTGAATTATAGATTGCCCTACAGAAAAATGCTTCCTGCTTTCCTTGTCTGTGATACTGAACTAAAATAAGTCTATTAAATTTAATATATGTTACACTGCCTTCTTACAGAATTATTTGTAACCACCAATAAACTGCAGTACAACCTGCTAGAGTTAAGCATCTGTCTTCTGTAAGTCCGATGTTACAGAAGTTCTCAATCTGTACTGCAACCATATGTTTCTTCATCTGATTCAACTAATAAAAGATTAATATCCTCCTTGGGAGATATGGTTGGCTGTAGCATGTCTAGAGTATGAACTCCAAAAATAGATCTTGGCCCTGGAAGAATGCACACCTCTATAAATCTGTAAGTGGAGAGCAAGCATCTCTGGCCACCTGTTTGAAGAGCATCTTTTTTGAGCCTTGTAGTCATTCTGAATAACATTTTATTTCTTCCGTTCTGTGCTCAATCTCCTACCTAGAATTTCTTTTATCCTTTTGCTGCCTACATTCAGTAGACTAACTAGAAGACTGTAGTTGACTCTGCATTTCCTTCATTAATGGAAATGGATCAAAATCTTGAACTCATGCAGTCCACTAGGTTGGCTTAAAGTTTACAGTCCTCCTGCTTCTTCCTTGTTTGTGTCTAGGGTAATAGAAGTGGCCACAAAGGTCCCTGAGAAGCTTCACTACAGTGTGCATTGCAAGATCTTGCTCCTTTAGAATGTTGGCCTCTACCATCACAAATGTGGGTACATATTGTAAGTGTACCCATTTGATATGAAGCAAAATGAGAAAACTTTCTCTTTATAAATAAAACTAACACAAAATATGTTTTTATCTTAGGAAATGTGCAACTACTGAATTTGATAAAAGAATAAAATGGTGGTAAAACTGAGAAACAAATATGAAAGACCACAAATTAGAAGCCTGAAAAATACATTTAGAAGGTTAATTCAAAGAGCCTTCCCATTGTGATTAGATCTGGAAAGGTTAAGGCTCAGCTGTGGACCACTTCCTTTATGATCATCTCATTTTCAATATTTCTTTTAGTTGCATGTTTATTCATTCTTATTGGGAAAGCACATGATAATACTTTGTTATTAAAATTATATAAAATTCAATTTTTAGTATCATTTTTGTCAAAAGTGATCCATTTTTATTTCTGTCATTTCTTTTCAAATCCCAAAGTGGAGTGGCTGTATGAAAACAAAATTAGTGTTATTTAATATTTTAAAATATTTGAATGAATTATGAATTTCATAATATGAAAACAGTATATTAATGTAGATGAGTAAATATTTTGAGATATAATTTCCCTGCTTAACATTAAACTTTGAGGTTGATTTCAAATGTATAAGCATTTTGGTGTTGAGTGACCAGTTCTGGTAAGTGATGAAGAAACCTACTATGGGCTATAATTGGTTTGAGCAGAAGCTGGAAAATGGATATATTTCCTTTTATTTCATATTTAATTTAATATAATCTTTTCTATGAAGATTACATTGTAACAAACTCTAAAATACTGATTTTCCTACAAGATTTGAAGAATTAATGACAAAAACTGAGGAATTTATCATGCATAACAAAATAATTATTGAAATAGTTTTGTAACCTTGATTAAAATACTGATAACTTGAATTGAACTTGCTTCCCTCCCCTTATAGTCAATCATAGCTGTCCCGATGATCAGTTTAAATGCCAAAATAATCGTTGTATCCCCAAGAGATGGCTTTGTGATGGAGCAAATGATTGTGGCAGCAATGAAGATGAGTCCAACCAAACCTGCGCAGGTAAAGGTCTGCACAGATATATAATAAATCACTTCCACCTCCACGTCTATAGCACACAGGACAGGCTGATAAACTAGCTGAACTTTGTTAGCATTGACATTCTGATTACTGCCATGGTCAGGGAATTCAGTGTTTGGTGCCACAAAGGTCAGATTATAAATGGTGTTCTACTAATCCTTGAACAGTATTCTGCTTTCCAAATTAATCTGGCACTTTACCTGTCCTTGTGGGCTGCCTTTAGATCAGCATCTACTTCAAGACTTGCTCATGATAAACCTTCCTAGGCAGTGGAACCTTTTCATTAGCACTATGTGATCCTGGCCATCTCACAAGGAGAGCTATTTATTTTATCCTGAGAAAATACTAAAACTTTTTATTTTTTTCTACTACAGAATACCTTTGTGAATAGTTTTCTGTTCATGGAACATTATTTATGGAAGGCAGTGTTTTTTTTTTTTCCTGAATGAAGTCCCAATACGACTAGGCATATTTATATTTCCATATAATCCATGCGTTTGTAATAAATCATTGATTCCCTAGCCAGCCTCTCATTGAATAGAAATATACTGCCAGTGGTACAGCTTACAAAAGAGTGCCAGAAAGGTCATGATTACTAGGTAAATGTTGAAAAATGACATCGGCAAGCTGCAGCCCAGTGCACTGTAAATGATGAAAAAAAATTAGTGTGTGGTGATACATGTTGTTATAATTGGTGAAAATTGATTCTTGAATGGTGCTACAATGTTACAGCACAACAGCCCCCACAACACCTCTGTCTCCTTTAGCCATTATAAACCTTAGTAAATACCAACTGTTGTAACAATGTAGACTTACAGACTGAGAAATTTGTTCCCACCCTTGATTTTAACATTTATTTGCCTGTGCAAAGACTTGTTCCTCTGTGTCTTACCTTTTGAATATATTTCTTTTAGCTCTATTAGACACTGAATTGGGTACAAATTGTTTTCAAAGAGCTTCTTGATATTTTTACAACAGAAATTATAAGATAAAAAGCAAAACCACTTCTTGCCATGGCCTGAGACGTCATATGAGCAGACTTTTCCATGGTGAAGCATTCGCTCACCATCTGTGGACAAATAATTCTCTTGAGCCACAAATAAAACCCTTAAATCCTCTCCTCTCCTCTTCTCTCTCTCTCTGTCTGTCTCTGTCTCTGTCTGTCTCTGTCTCTCTCTGTCTCTGTCTCTCTCTGTCTCTGTCTCTCTCTGTCTCTGTCTCTCTCTGTCTCTGTCTCTCTCTGTCTCTGTCTCTCTCTGTCTCTGTCTCTCTCTGTCTCTGTCTCGATATCTGAAGACCATGGGGGCACTTTCAAGATTTTTTTTTCTTGTAGAGGAAATGTAGATTCTAAAAGGCACCTACTTTTTGGACTAAACTACACTGCACAGCAGATTATCTTGAATTTTTATGTGCAGCCAATTTGACTTTGAGAAGGTTGCCGTGAATATGACTCTAATTTACAATGAAGCATTTCTGCACACCAATGCACATACTAATCTTTTAAGATTAAGGTTTAATTCAAAGATTGTGCTTCATTACATCCTGAACATAAACATAGAGGTATTTTTCCCTAAAATAGAAAGATACTCATCTTATAGTATCATACCTGCCTTGTTTATACTAATTGCAAATTTTGCTTGTTTCCACATGATTTATAAAAGAGCATTTGCATTTGGTCTAACCATTAGTAGCAGTAAAAATAGAAATACTCCTATGTAAGAATAAACAAAGCAATCAGTCCTGATTAGTATGGTTTCTATGGTTCTAGACCCTATAGTGCACTAGGAAATGAAACACACCATATTGAATGTCACTTTGTATTGTGCTCCTCACTCCCAGGTCAGTACACTCATGTCAATATAACCATGGCAGATGGTGTCAAACAAAAGAATAAAGAGAAACATAAATGCATCTTTCATCTTTACAAAGTTTGAAATGTGGATTAAGCCTGATGTACTTCCATTTCATTTCACCCGAAAAAATAAGCAGTTTGCATGGATTCCTACATGTGGACAAAGTGGCAGGTTCTTCTAAGCACTTTCTGTGACCTGAAATTTAAGTGCATATGAGAAGATGTATCCTAGGTGAAAAGACACAAAACAAAGATATTTTATTGTGACATCTACTTCCTCATCTGTTTACATCAGGGCTGTTTGTATATAAACTGGAATCTTCTTCCACCAAAAACCTGTTTTATCTTTTGTTCTTTTAAGATTTTTCCACAAAAACCAGTAAATATTTGTCATGACTTTCATGATTGATGCTCAAAAGTACATATTTCATTTGTAGACAGAAAACAAGGGGGCACAAAAAATACCCAAAAAACAAAAACAAAACAAAAACAAAACAAAATATGCATTGGCCAGCCATTGTCATGCAAGCCCAAAGTTTAGTTATACTCTTCTTATTCTGTCTAGTCTTATGTTGACTGGACATGTTGGACGCATGAACCACAGTTGATAACATGCCTGCTCTAGATTGGCCTGTGAGCAACCCTGTTTGGCATGCCTTTAGATGTCTCATGTGGCAGGGCCCAGGTCACTAGGGTTGATGGCACTCCTGGGCTTATGATTCTCGGTGTTATAAGAAATTAAACTAAATAAGACAAGGAAAGCAATGTTAGCAGTGCTCCTGATCAACCATGGCCCGGGCTTCAGTTACTTCCTCTAGGTTTCTGCCTTGAGTTCTTATCTCTATTTTTCTCATTGATGGAATATGACTGGAGAGCTGTAAGATGAAATGAACTCTTTCCTTCTCAAGTGGCTTTTGTTCATGGTGTTTCCTCATAGAAATGGATAGCCAGGGACCATAAAGTAGAGCAAAGTATAGGGAAGAATTCCTGAAGGCGGCAAGGTTAAACCCTTGAAAACATAAGAAACATCCCTAAGTAATAATAAAATCCGAAGGAAGCAAATAACCTGGTTAAAAACAAGTTTTGGCAACATTATGGGGAGAAGGAGAGAGCACATATTCTTGTTGGTCACATAAATTGACTTTTTGTATTAGAAAGTGTGTTAGCTAGGGTTTCTATTGCTGCAACTAAACACCATGACCAAAAAGCAAGTTGAGGAGGAAAGGGTTTATTAGGCTTATACTTCCATACTATAGTCTATCATGGCAGGAGGTCAGAACCAGATCTCAGTCAGTGATAGAGCCTGGAGCAGAAGCTGACACAGATACCATGGAGAGGAGCTTTTTACTGGTTTGCTTACCCTGGCTTGCTCAGCCTGCTTTCTTATAGATCCCAGGACCACCAGCCCAGGGATCACATCATCCACAATGGGCTGAATCAACCCACATTGATCATTAGTTGAGAAAGTGCCTTACAGCTGGGTCATTTCTTCAACTAAGGCTCTTTCTTCTCTAATGATCTTAGCTTGTATCAAGTTGACACAAAACTAACCAGTACAGAAAGGAATTTTTTTAAATCCAATAAGTTCCAAAATTTATGCATGTTTAACTTTGCAATATCTGTTTTCCCACTGTAGTTAGTACCTGTACATAGGAAAATCTGGTGAAAAGATATTCACCTGAGAGCTAGGAACAAAAAGTCCCCCAAACAAACTAAATTTTAAATGAGTAGGATACTTAATAAACTTGTATATTTGGCATGCATATTTACAATGAAGGAGCTCATAATCATGTGTCAAAAAGGATGAATTTTTAAAATGTCTCATACAAAACTTGAAAACATAAACACTTTTATTTACAAGAAATATTAATTGAAAATAATTCTATATATCTCTGATGAATTCATGTGTAGTCTTCTAAAAATTCCTGGAGGTGAAAATAAAATATGGAGTTAGGTATTCTAGGGGAGGCCGATATGTGGGAGAGACTCCATTGTCTATAAGATGAAGGTATATACAGCTCTTTAATAATACAAAGCAAAATTCTACAGCAAATGTAGAGAAATAAATTGGATGTAGCTGTACATCAGAGACAAATGTATCTTTGTTTGACCTCTTTGTGATAGAAACATTTCATTAGGAGCAAATTGCCAATTGGCAGCTTATAGGGTTGGAGCCTGTGTGGTCTAAATACCAAGAGCAAGTTAGAGAAGGCACTCAGGAGAGGCATAGCACATGCATGGATCACAAAGGAGCAGCCACAGTCACAACCACACAGAGCAGCTGTTGTCCCTCAAAAACCCAGATTCCTTTTTATCTAATTCTAAGATAACTTCAGAGACCAAGATGAATGGCAGCTATGTTTGAAATTCACTTCCTGGAATTAATACTAATAATTCTTTTACTTGCACCTAGGCAATTGTAAGCCAACATTTTTTCCCTATCATTGAACTCTAATTGCTTTGGACAATGCTCTTCTCTTCACATCATCCAACAATTTTGATTAAATGCACACTAAGCAGGTATAATTACATGAAAATAACCATTATATTAAAATCAAACCTTTTACAAGATAAACTAAAGAGAGCTTCTCCCCCCACCCCTGCACCATCATGCTAAAAATTAGGTCCAAGGGCTTTCACATGCTGTCCAAATGTTGTTCATTCCCAGCCATGCTAGCCTTGAACTAATCATCTTCATACTTCCTCCTTCCAAGTACTGTGATTTACAAGGATGAGATGGTATATGTTATCTAAATAGAATGATTCAATAACGGTGATTTTTCTGTCTGTCTGGTTTGAACAGTCTCCTCATAGTGCTCATGCTTTCAGGTTTGTTTCATTCTGCTATGTGGTAGCAATAATGAGCTTGAACACTTATAATGTGAGGGGAATCTCAGATTCAAATGCTAGATAAATAAGTCTGTAAAAGGCACAGATAAGTTCCTCTTTAGGGCACTATTTGTCATAATATTAGAGTCCTTTAGGGCCACTCATCCAACATCACCTGCAAGCTTATTACATCTGATGCAAAGGAGGACTGAACAAGAAAACACTGTGTTGCCTTTTAGTGAGTCCATCGATTTGAAGTGTTAATTCTGTTGATTTGGTTATGTCCAGAAGGCAGAACTTAGAGACTTAATGAATAAAATAACATTCTCATCTGAAATCAGTTAAATTTCCCTGGAAGAAAGAGACAATAGTTTTCTTCATGACTAAATGGGATAGTGAATTCAAGCACTTTCTAGTCTTAATATCTTTCAATAACTATGCAAAATTTCCTCAGTTAATGATTATAGATGTTCCTGAAACTTCACAGCTATAATGAGGGCCACACACGAGTTGGTGCCACCACAATGGTCAGTCACCCACTATATGAATTAGACTGAGAAATTCATGTTACTTTCTCTCTAATAAGAGCAAGCCAGTAAGAAATCTTTGATGGAGCAGGGCATTGGTGCCACAAGCCTTTATTCCCAGCACTTGGGAGGCAGAGGCAGGAGGATCTCTGTGAGTTTGAGGCTAGCATGTTCTACAGAGCAAGTACCAGGACAGGCTCCAAAGCTACAGAGAAACCCTGTCTCAAAAAACAAAAACAAAAAAAAGTTACAATAAATCTTTCTGCCACCTTGAGATCTGCCTGCCACGTGTGTGGCCAACATAATATACAGAGACTTATATTAGGTACAATTGCTGCTTGGCCAATGACTAGGATTTCTCATCTGCTATCTCAGTCTTAATCATCATAAATCTATATATTTTATATGACTTATCTTAATATATACCAGTGGCAAGCGTCCTGTCTTCCTGGGCTCACATGGTTACTCTGGAGGAAGAGAGAAGGTTCCCACTTCCTTCCTGCCCTTTTTTACATATTAGACTCCTTGCTATGTCACTTCCTGCCTGGATCACCACTTCTTTACTACATTTCCCAGAATCCTCCTTGACTCCTAGTCCTGCCTAACTTGGTGCCTCATTGGTCAAACAGTACTTTATCATCCAATAAGACAAACACATACACAGAAGCACTTCCCCCATCACAAACAAACAAAAAGAAAGCTTAGCTGGACTCTGTGGAGAGACTGGTAGGAGAGAGACTATAATAACAAGAACATAAAGTGAAAGAACAGTGGTTTGCATAAATTTAATATATTATGATTATGGCTAAGTTGAAATTAAATGGTGGTAAATCATCTAATGATGTTTTCCTTTAAAATCATGGAAGAATGGAATGCAATAAGAGGGGAGGGGCAGGAGAAGTGAATGGCAAAAAGAAAGAATATGAGGAGAAAAAAGGAAGAAAGCTAAAGATGATAAGAGAAAGGAGAAGGGAAAATGTTTGGGAGAAAGAGAAGAAAGGACAATGGAAAACAAGAGCTTTTGTTGAATTTCTCTTAAAACACAAACTTTTAAAACACTTGGCTGTAACCAATGGAGCAATATGGAGATAAATAAGGGGAAATTTTTCTTATCCTTCACATCCTAGCCTTCATCAAATAAACCAAAGCTCACTCCTTGGGTATCTGCTTCTGCATTGTTTTCTATGTTTCACAATGATATAAAATTAACTAAGATCTTCATTGAGTTTATGTTGCGTTTAAGGATTACTGAAAAATAAACTAGTAAAATAAGGCATTTAAAATGGCAATTAGAAATATTTAATGTTATTTAAAATATAAACACTGAAAACTTCAGAGTTACATACAATTGTTAGAAAACTTAAATATGATAACTTAACAAAATAAACTGTTTTTAAAATGGAAATGGGTATTACATGGAATATTTAATATTTAAAGCACTATCTGCATAGCTAAATTCACATTGAATGACATTCCTAGTTACTGTAGTTGCAGGTACTGTACCTCTGGTCCATGGTATCACACCAACCAGTAAATTTTGAATTTTATTTTTAAGTAATCTGGAAAATATTCACTACTACTGGTCACAAAACTGTGTGTATGTATTTGTATGCCTTTATGAAGAGATTAATTATTTCAAATTACTTAGTGTAGATTAGCATGCAAGGTATCTTAAAGAACCAAATAAAAACACTTATTTCTTTACACATAGGAAAGAAGAAATCTGTCACAAATTGGATTTCTTTGTTTCTAGTGTGGAAGCTCAGAGCCTAAGCAGTCTTTCATTGTCAAAGTGTCATTGACATATCCTACTTTCCCCCTGTTTTTCAGATGGAAAGGCAGGGTGAGTGGGGTAATCCCATTTAAGACAGATTTCTGTTTCAATGGGAAAATAATAAAGAAAAATGAAAATTAAACATTAAATGTAACTAGTACACAGCACCTGACCAGTATGAAAGTTCAAATCCACCCCTTGGGAACCTGTTACTTCTGCCCACTGCTTGTTACCACTGTTTGAAGTTGTGCATATGTGTGCACATTGTAGCCCTTAGGACAGCCAAAAGCAAAGCTCTGAGTACAGTGATCAAAGATCAATGTGTATAGCTGCACAAGAGGTCCTTATAAAGTCTTAGGCTAACTGCATGTTTTAGAAAATATTTCTGTATTTTCACTTTACTTGGAGAGTTCACTTAAAAAATGAGGTAACTACAAAAATAAGTTAAATGAAAAAGACAATTCTGAGCCAGGATTAGAATCTAGGTACTCTGAGATGGTCACAGGCTTCTCTTGACATTACAGCAAAAAGTTTCCTTTGTTTGGCAACAAACACTGCACAAAATTCTTTTCTTAATAAAGAGTTGAATGAAATTTAACTCAATAATATTTTAAAGTATGCAACTGAGAAGCTCTTAAAATAACTCATCATTTTCATTTGTGAAAGAGTTCAACAAATATTATTTTAGTGTCTAATTTCACTGAAAGGCAAAATAATGTACTTCAGGAGCAGAGAAGAAGTCATAGAAGGAGTGTTTCTCCCTCCTTGTCCTGAAGACATTTAGTCCCAAATAAACACACAGAGGCTTATATTAATTATAAACAGTTTGGTTGATGGCTCAGTCTTCTTATTGGCTATTTCTCTCTTAATTGTTAGCCCATTTCCATTAAACTATGTATTGCCAAGAAGCTGTGACTCACCCACAATACTCTGACATGTTTCTTCTTTGGCGGCTACATGGTGTCTCCCTGGCTTCTCTGCTTTTCTATTCTCCTAGTCTGGTAGCATGGCTTATACTTCCTGCCTGGCTACAACCTGCCTGTCCATTGGCTGAAACAGCTTTATTCAGCAACCAATAAGAGAAACATATATTCACAGCCTTCAGAAGGACATCTCCCATTAGAAGCTAGCTAGAGTCACAAAGCACTAACTAAAATTTCATATTAAAATATTATATCCTGTATGAAGAAGCCATGCCTTTGAAGGAGACTGAACAGGATTATGTGGGAAAGTTTGGCCGAAGCAAAGGGAATGGGAGAAATATAATTAGATTATAATGTCAAAAATTAAAAATGAACAAACATAAGCATAATGCTTATGTGTAAAGTAGATATTGCATGTGACATTACTCAAAATTTATGTGGATTTATTCATTGTATATAAATTGATCTTTACAGCAAGAACATGCCAGGCTGACCAGTTTTCTTGTGGAAATGGGCGCTGCATTCCCAGAGCATGGCTGTGTGACAGAGAGGATGACTGTGGTGACCAGACAGATGAAGTCGAAACTTGTGGTAAGTTGAGAATGGCTGTGCTGTATTTTAGCAGGGGTTTGTCAGATACAGTGTACTGGTGCTACATTTCTCTTACAAGCTATTTCTGTATGAACAGGTGTCAAGGTAGCAAATACAGTATTTTCATTGCAGCTCTTTGAACACGACTTTCAATGACTGCTTCAGAATAGATCTCATTCATGAAGTAGTTACAATATTCTCAGCTGAAATAAATAGAATCAGACATTGCAGATCAGTAGCTATCAGAAGGCTAAATAGATACTCTTTTGCTCACTATTAATCTTGGCAATATTATGACTACACGTACAAAACAAAACTAAGCTGTGTTTTGGTTGACATTTGGAGAAAATACAAGGGTACATTTCTTGTTAACATGTATATGACACATTCTGGGAGCAACAAATAATCTAGACTGAGATTAAGTAGAAAATATCCACTGTGAATTTCTGTAGAATCATAGAATTCTGACTGCCAAAAACATGTTCATGGTATCCTTGCCAGTCACATATTCCTGGATTTCCAATTTCCAAAAAGAGATTTGTTGTTGACAAAGTTGCAGATGTAGTTACTCTCTTTTGGACATGTGGATCTGTATAAATTACCTTCCTGGAGGTCAAGAGAGAAGAGACTGTAAGGGCCATTAGAAACATAGTTTCTTAGGGAATCTTCACAACCATCTGTAATAGCACCAATGATTTCCCTACTTCACCCATAGAAGATCTGAGACAGACTGATTAGCCTCCTACCTGAGACCATGAATCCAATACACACTGGACTAGCATCTAAATCCCATGCTTTAATAGATAAGTGCACAGCCATGCACATTCTGACACATTAAGTAGATTCAATATGTTTTTAAATATAGCATATGCAGGTAGAGGGATAAGGGAAAGATTGCAGGAAGAGGAATGAGTAGTAGATTTGGTCAAAACACATTATTAGAATAAATTAAATTCTCAAATAACAATAAAAACAAATATATTTCCTGTTTTATATATTTGCATTTTCTTTTGGGGAAGATGTGGAGCATCAACTAGGCAGAGGGTAGGAAGTTCAATAAAACAGGACAAAAATAGTATGGACAAATAACACCAAAATTGTGTAATTAAAAACTAGAGATACCTTATTATATTATATCTACCACAAATAATGCAAAATGCATATGTACACACACACACACACACACACACACACACACATACACACACACGTATGTCTATGGATTTGGCTTCCTGTCAGACATTGAAGGGACTGGATTGACAAATAAGTATGTAGCTGACAATCTACCAGGAATATATTCTATAAATGGTTGTCGAATACAAAGTGGCAAGGCAACAGACAGTAAAATGACAATAGAAGGAAGCTCCTGAGAGATTTTTTAATTTTTTTTTATTAGAAACAAGCTTCTGTTACATGTCAATCCCAGTTCCCTCTCCCTGCCCCCCACCCACATGGCAACCCCCAGGGAGGGTGAGGCCTTCCATGGGGGACCTTCGAAGTCTGTCATATCATTTGGAGCAAGGCCTAGACCCTCCCCCATGTGTCTAGGCTGATAGAGTATCCCTCTATATGGAGGGGGCTCCAGAAGTCCATTTGTATAGTATGGATAAATACTGATCCACTACCAGAGGCCCCATAGATTGACCAGACCTCCAAACTGACATACTCGCTCAGGGGATCTGCAACAGTTCTCTGCTGGTTTCTCAGTTATCAGTCTGGGGTCCATGGGCAACCCCTTGTTCAGGTCAGCTGTCCCTGTGGGTTTCTCCTGAGAGATTTTTATATGTTCAGAAACTCTAAGAGCCAGTTGTTATTTACATAGATGGCAATAATAAAACAAAATTGCTATGAATTTGAAATTGAACATTTAAATAAAAGCAATAAACTTGAGATTCACTGTTTTGCACAAAATTCACTCTTTGTCTGATTTTACATCAGGAGCTGTACATAAAAAGCTGACCAAAAGCTCTGAGAAGAACAATCTCACTTTGTAGGAAAAATATATTTCTGTGACATAAAATGTCCTTTCACTGAATTCAAAATGACAAAGACTGATGTCTAATAAGAAAAAGGAAACAACATCTAACTGGTTGTCCATGAATGTAGGCTATTATATGCCTCCTGCTTCCACATGTCTTCAAACGAGACTGCTTTACGTTTGATCTTGGAATAGGGCAAATTCCCAAAGGTGTCAGCCTTCACAGAATTCTCTTCTTTCAGGTATTTTACACTTTAGCTTCAAGATGAACCCTTGGTATGTTTAGCAACTAACGTTTTCATGGTACAAATGCATATGATTAGATTTTCTTCTGATAGAAATTAGGAGTTTCTGACTACTCAGAGATACATTCATTATCATCTGGAAATTGAGAAGGTGGGAAGAAATGTAAAATGACAGCAACAAGAAAAAGACCTGGTAAGGAAGGGTAAATGACTTAGAAGGAAGATATGTGGAGGGAAAACAAGAAGAACAGCTAAGGAGAAATTAGAATAATGTGCACATGAAATTTTCATTATTGAACTATTTTATGATAATCATAGATTAATTTTAAGAATAGGAAACATAATTGATTAATTAATTAAGTCCTCAGTATCCTGGGGAAATTAGAATAAATCTCTGATCACATTTTGAGATTAAAATATGAAGTGTGTGGACAAGATTTAGTAAATATTTGTTCTCATTCTATATAGAGAAACAAAATGCAAAATTTTCATAGTTCTGTTTGAATAACAGGCCTTTATGTTAATACTACTATTGTTTGGAGGGAAATGTGTAATCTGTCTGATATTCCTTGTATAACTAAAACACATAAATGAATATAGGGCACTTTTATGTTTAATAAGTAAAAATTCTAAAGGATAGCCTGCTTGCACATTTTAGGAGTGGAAAGGGAAAATAGACTTAGGAAAATATATCAACCTCTTTTTTTGCTCTATCACACAGCAATGCATAAAATGGTAGTTACAATTTTAAGAAAAAATCCACATCTCATTCCAGGCATTACAATGAGATGCTTTGATATATATATATATATATATTTGGTTTTTCCATACAGGGTTTCTCTGCGGCTTTGGAGCCTATCCTGTAGACCAGGCAGGTCTCAAACTCACAGAGATCCACCTGCCTCTGCC